AGAGAATCAAGTTACCTGTGAGTCTCGATTTAAAACCCTTGCTCTCTGAAGGTGCAAAAACATGCACTAGTTCCAGTGACACCATAAGAAATTAAATGAATGGTGGAAAGAGAATGTTCTGCAGCCTCGAGATTTAATAGAGGGTTCGGTTAAAATTTCCAAAAGGTTAATATCGTTGATGACATCTGAAGAAGTCTGAATGTTAGAAATGTCGAAGCATTGTTACAATAACAATCCAGATAAGGATATTACTCTGAGAGATTTAGTGTAGAATAACGATAATTCTCCATATAAAAAATCCAGAGAAAATGATATATCTAAATGTGTAAAAATATTTTAATAATTTAAATGAGTATGAACTATAACGCTTAACTAGTCATAAAACTCAAAGCTGTATAAAGACAAACTCCTTGTGATATGAGCGAAGTAAATATGGACACTTTCTATCTTTACACAACGTGATGATCCACTTTGCTACAGAATAGCGCACAGAATAGTAAGATCGCGTGATAAGTTTAGTGCTACTCAACTTGTAAGGATGAGTTATCTCGGGCGTGGCAGTAAAGAAATTAAAGCGTAGGGTAGGCAACGAGTGAACAGTTTGCTTACTTTCCGTTTAAATTCCTTTTAATAATATTTCAAATCATCGTGACCGCATCATTCGCAAAATAATAATTCTGAATCACATTTGTGCACCATTTTCTATACACAATTGCTTTTTCTTCCTGAATTTTATCTTTCAGTCCTGACATGTCTCACCATGTCTTCTTTGGGAGCATGAAAATAGAAAATTGTATTTTTTCTAGGCTCTAGCCCTATTATAGTAAAAAATAATAATATATAGTAAATTAAATTAGTATATATATATTTATATCAGTCAGTCAGTTATGTGCAATGCGTGATACACGCGTAGGCGATCATGTAACTTTCGATTTGTCGGTATTACGTTACCATTTCTTTCTGCGGTAGACCAGCTGCCATCCAAGGCTATAGAAACCAGTCCGCCCTGAAATCTACCCATGGGAGGATACATAACTTTCCTTATATTTATATATATATATATATATATATATATATATATATGATGTGATGATGTTGAAGATAAAATAAATAAACCATTTATTTTATCTTCAACATCATCACTTGATAAGTCACAGAGTGTGTTGAAACAAAATGGCTATTTTTGTAGTGATTTTATAACATGCTTATGTTATAATTTTTTATAAATAATAATTATATCTGCTCTACTTTGTATTGAGCACTCTTTTAAGAATAGTAATTGTTGGTTATTGGAATTCATTCCGTATATACCAATTATATACTTGGGTATATATATATATATAATTTACTATATAAATATAGGGAGGCAAGGTGGAGTAATGGAGATATATATATATATATATATATATATATATACATATATAGCCTGACGATTGCATATAGCATGAAACAGACTGTCGCCTCTAAGTGTTGACTTCTATGTTCACTTTTATATATATATATATATATATATATATATATATATATCTGATTAATACAAATGGCCAGTGTTCGAACCCAAGTTGATTTTTAAGTGAGGCAGGGTCCCCTTACTTGAGACATTGGCAACAAGAATATATGCTGACTAATGGTGATTAGTAAACATTTATCAATTAGTAAGCATTGATCAATTAGTAGGCATTGGTCAATTAGTAATTACTTAAAAGTGTTGTAATAATGGTGGCTGGCAAGGTAAGAATCTAGGTTTTCATTTTACATCTATGGGTTATATAGTATCTATGTAGCTGTGGTCGGCAATTAGTGTTGTAGAAAGAATGTATGAAGACCGTGCGTCACTCAGGTGAAAAGGCTTTTATGAAGTCAATGGAAGGATTATAGTGTTCACGATGACTCTATGATTACGACTGCGGTCGATTTGATAGAAAAATAATTCCAATAAGATCTCTTGGTTTTGTAGAAGGCATTGATCTGGAGAAACAAACTAAGAAATTCTGGTTTAGATAATTAGCTTTCTAAACTCTATCTCTAAGATGGGGTATTATTACTTGCATTATTTACATTATTCGGATCGTTATCCTCATCTTCACTCTCATATTCCCAACGTTTCGGCTGTTGTACGCACCAGCTTCTTCAGGGGATTGGAATTTCGAACTTCCGACTTCGCCTACTCTACCCATAGCAAGTTATACTGACGAACGAAGTTAAGCCAACACTTAAAAACAAACCTGTTGACTTAAAGGACCAACTTGCTTGAAACATAGAAGTGTCACATTTCGTAGGAAGCGAGCTGGGAGAAAAACACGATCATGTATATAACAGAAGGATAAAGTTAAACTCTTATTTCCTAACATACTTGAACCTCTTGGATTTTTCTTTTATTTATTTAATTTTCCTTTGCGCTTATGCGGTGCCACCTTCAATCTGAACTCAGCTTGCTCTACGACCCGACGTCTGATTGATCTCGTCTACCTAAGATCAAAGTCACAACGTGGGTAGGTTAGACTTGAGATCGAAACAGTTACTCCAGTAACCAGACGTAGCAAGTGAGCTGGGAACGATAGAGTTTGCATTGAACTGGTATAGCTGGTGAAGCCGTTATAGGTACCTCCACGAGATCGCTAAAAAAAGAGCATAGCATGATGAAAAAGACGCCAAACTTGACGAAAACAAAATTTTATCGTCTAAATGTTTGTTATTCATTAAGAGGAAAGGTCAAAGTATTTTTGGGGTATTTTTTTTCCATTTTTAATCGTTCCTAGCACGTCCGAAATTTTCGTTAAAAATCTAGTTTTTTTGAGTCAGCAAATTGACCATTTTTTTTCCATTTTAAAAAAAAAACTGGAAATCTGACTTTGAAATTTTTTTAAATATCAATTATCATTTTTTCAAAACTTATTTTAAGAAAATCAGAAATTATAATGTTTATTTAAAATATTTTGAACCAAACTTAACTTAGCTTTTTGTGCCAAAAAAGATGTAATTTGAAAATAAAACAAAGCAGGTCATAAACTTTTGCGTCTCTTGACATGTGATGAATGATATAATTACGAATTCCATGAGGCTAATTTGTTCTACGGAAGGAGAAAAGTGAAATAATTTACATTTACGTGAACAAATTATTTACCCCGTTATTTTAACGAAAACTTTCAGCGGTCTAATTTTTTTTTTTTGTACTTAGCTTTCACCTTTACGTTTATGATGCTTTATGGGAAATATATTCTAAAGAAATTAAAATAAAACTGTTAAGAGTGACATTAAATTTCATATTTCTTAAGAAAGGTATCTAATTAATTTATAGGTACCTTTCTTATGAAATTTTATCAGAATTGTACATAAAATACTATAATTTTATGTACATTTATTACATTCTACTGTTATTTGTATTTGAATTCATTTTATTATTATTTTGATATTTCATTTATGGAAAAATGTCGTAACTGAGATTAATATAAAAATAAGATCATATAAATTTCATAAGATGATACTGATACTTGTAGGTAACCTTCTCAGTTGAAATTGAAAAAATCAAATTAACTTCTCCACACGTGTTTCGTAAAAAGTAAAGGCCTTAACAGCGGAGAACAATGCTTAACTCAAATAACGCAACTTAATTATATTCTGTTTGGTCTTCCGTATTTTATAATTACAGCTCGATTATAAGCACAAAATTACATTTCTTAATTACTGGGGTCTTCTGATTAGTCAAAATGATACAATTTACAACGCGCTAAAAAAGATCTATCTCATAAGGACGCTTATGAAAGCCTGTGCGGCTTTTAACTAATTTTATAATATTTTAACAACTTAAATGTAAAATCTATTATAATTAATGAAATAACAAATAATTGTGTTAAAAATTCATTTTCATCGGAAAAATTTTTGGCTTTCAGAAAATATTGTCCATATTCATAAAAACAACTAAAAAGCAAATAAAAGCATTTGAAATTAAATAATATATTTGTTTTATTGAGTTTTGTATGTTACAATTCAGAGCTGATTTTCAGGTACTGGGTTTCCAATTAAAAAACAAAAAAACATGATTTGCATTCCTCAAAGCCCTGTGCTTTTAATTATTGTAATCACTAAAACCGATGCGATCGAATTTCTAGCGTTTTCATAAAATTAGTTATGGGGGGGGGTAATAAATATTTTTAAAAATATTTCTACCATGACTTTCATAAAAAAAAACATATTTATAATAATTTCGATCATCTGTGAATAGTTCCTGAAAGTTTCATTAACATCCGATAATTAATTCTATTTTTGCACGATTTTTCAAATTAATGTGTCATACCAAAAAAAACGTGCTAAAAATTGTCTATATTATTTACTAGTTCCGCTGATACAAATAGAAACAAGGTTTTTAATCAAAATTTAGAATTTTCTAAAAGAAGGAAAATTTTTAAAAATAATTAAAAAAAACTTTGGTCTTTCCTCTAAATAATAACATAAGCATTTAGACAATAAAATTTTGTTTTCGGCAAGGTTGGCGTCTTTTTCATCAAGCTATGCTCTTTTTTTAGCGATTTCGTGGAGGTACCTCCGTTAACATCGAAGACCAGAATTCGACCCTGGTGCCAGATATTGGTGCCGTCACCGCTGGATTCGACCTTGGACGGCTGAGTGTCACATATTGATATCCTGAGCAGGGGATTTCGTCGAGTAGCGACGACCACCGAACGACCGGGACATATTTATACCATAAATGGACATATCCTTCCTGGTTTTTTGAAGAATGTTGTCTTGTTTTATAAAGAATTTTTTATTATCCCAGCTAACATTGTTTTCTCTCTCTCTTCGTGTTCCTCCCAACAAAAACAACAGCAATAACTGCTACTACTACTACTATTTACTACTTTCTTTGGGTGAGGGAAGTACAATAATTTCTGCCGCGAGACTCTCGAAGAGTGAGAACATGATCAAGTCTCAACATACTAATCTTGAAAATCCAAACTGTATTTACTAAAAAACACGTTGAAAATGATAATTTCTGCGACAAGATGTTCATTTTAGATCGAAGCCAACCAATCGTTCAAGTTAGACTAATCGCAATTGATTCTTTGACAACAACAACAAAACTGTCTGAAGAAAAGAATTGAACAATGAGAAAGGGTACGTGTATGTGAGAGAAATTAAATTAACGAAAAACTTTCATAGTTAATAAAATGAATCCGTATATGTGCACCGATTGCATTGCAAAAAGAAGCAATTGCATCAGGCAATATAAATGATGCTTCTTTCACAGCTGAACCGACGTTTGGGAAATAAATGATTGCTCAGCTGCATACTTACAAAGTGCCTGTAAAGGATTGGCAAATGCTTAAAGCGTTAAAACAACGCCTGAATGTCGTCCGTTGGGAATAACAAACCAGAAGACATAGATTTTGCGGGACTCTTACTGCTGGCAGTATAAATCCTTGAAAACAGATTAGACGAAACTCCCAGGAATATTACCAGATTCACAAAGAATAAATAACCACTGGAGAGTACGAAAAGTCTCTCCCTCTCCACTCTTTGTCATGGACACATATACATGCATACCACCCAATCTATTGAAAGTAACAATGCAGTTTCTTATTTAACTTTAAATAAACGGTGAATGTTCGCTTTAATATCATTAACAAAAGCATGAACTCAAACTTCCCTGCGTCTAATGACGATTGGTTTCCAAACAGGTACGATTTTTTTTTTATTTTGTTTTGTTTTTAATGCGAAATTGAACATTGTTTTATTTCTTCATCCTCCCATTTTGAATGTTGGTGACTGAAGGAGTTGTACGTTCGATCTCTGTTAACATGTTGAATGGTGCTTTTCCAGGCAGAAAGACATTCCCCGTTTGTAAATATATCTTTCTCAACAACAATTGTGTCTCGTTTTAGAAGGATAAGATTTTCAAAATATGAAAGAAAGGCGAAATGTAAAAAAAATGAATGAAAGACAAAAATATCAAGGATTTAAAATACCAAGTTTCATGACATGGAATATCTTAGTTGGAATACTGGCGCAATAGAGTCTTTCTCCACAGTATTTACTTTTATTAGGCTTTGATGTAAACGTATACAATATATTTATCAATGTAGATATGTTAACATTTGTTTAGAATAAATTATACTCAAATATAATCTTAGATCACTTTACGTGTTCATCTGGAAGAATATAACCCAATACTTCCTGCTGAGCAGTCGGGTCATCCGTGGCTAAATCGGTGTCCCTAACAGGCCTTGGAGAAGGGTGACTAGAAATGCAACTGGGTTAAAAACAAGACCAGTTTAAGGGCTGATGAATGTTCTTGCAGGGTCAAAGGCTATCTAGCACAATGGGGTAGACTAGGCTCCATAACAGCCAGGGCGGAAATGATATGTCATCACTGGGTTGAAGGATGGCTAGACTGAGGTCAACGGCTAGAGTTCTCCCAGTTGAATCGAGTCCGTGTTTAGGTGACCAAAGCGACCCTTCAAGATGGAGGACATCGGCAGTAGTTTGACTTGAGCTACTCCACGTCTATTTGTCCAAGACATGCTACACATGAACCTGTCCAGATTTCGACCCAGATATTGTCAACGAATAGCTCATCTGCGCACCGCGCACATGGGCGATCGACGGATGTGGTTTATGATGAGGACGATGATGATGATGATCGACTCATAGAATGGAAAGTGTGACTGGTGAGTGGTCAGAATTTGGATATATTTACTAACTTATGAATACTGAGCAGTCAACGTTTTCACTCTGTTTCAATTCAGTCTGTTCAGATCTACCTATCTATCAGGTCATCCCATAAGTTCTGTCCGAATTTTAACTTTTTGTTAAAATGAACGAAATTTAAAGAGTATTTTATAATGTCTAATGGAGCTGAACATTATTTTTATGTTTAGATGCATTTAAACTGATCAAATTTTATTTCAAAGAACAATAAAATTAAATTTGTTTGATTAAAACCCTGCTAACATGGATGTACCCAAGAATCATTTGAGGCACATAATGAGAGTTCAAGAAAGGAAACACAGCAGCTGAAGTGGCTACAAACATTCACTCAGTTTATGGAGAGGAATGTGTGAATGAAAGAACTTGCAGAAGATGGTATGCAAAATTCAGAGGTGGAGATTTCACCTTTGAAGATGAAGATCGAACTGGACGTCCAGTTGAGTTTGATGAAAAGCTTCTTGAAGCAGCCCTTGAAGAAAATCCTGCTTTATCAGTTGAGGAATTGGCAGTGGTTCTCAGTTCAAACCATACGACTGTTCATCGTCATCTTCAACAATTTGAAAAGTTCCTAAACTTGGAAAATGGGTGCCTCATGAATTGTCTGAAAACAACCTCAAATCCCTGAGTTGACATCTGCTCTTCTCTCCATTCTCGCCAACTTGTTTCAATTTTTTGATAGACTTGTGACTGGCGACGAAAAATGGATCTTTTATCGAAATGTTAAGCGTCGTAGACAGTGGCTTGGTAAAGGGGAAGGACCCCAGCCACAGCTGAGAAGGAACTTCATAGGGCAAAAGGTTCTTCTTTCAATCTGGTGGGATCGCCAAGAAATAATCCACTTTGAATTCTTATCACCTAATGCAACAATTAATGCTCAAATATACTGTCAGCAATTAGAGCGTTTGAACCAAGATTTGAGGAAAAAAGACCTACTCTAGTGAATGGAAAAGAGGTGATGTTTCATCAGGCCATGCGCGACCCCACACAGCAAGAATCACGTCACAAAAGATAGAACTTAGTTGGGAGAAGATTCCTCATCCACCTTATTCCCTCGATCTTGCTCCTTCAGACTACCATTTGTTTTATAGCTTACAGAATCATTTGGAAGAAACAGCTTTTGTAACACGGAAAGAGGTTAAAACTGACATTTGTGAGTGCTTCGAATCAAAGTCAAAAGAATTTTACAGTAATGGAATTAGTAAGCTTGTTAATAGATGGAAGGAAGTCATAGATAATCAGTGAAAATACATTGTTGATTGAATCTGTAATTAAATGTAACATTTGGTCACGTGTTTTCTTTATTTAAAATTCGGACAAAACTTATGGGATGACCTGATAACTTTTGAAATAGAGATAGAAAAACGTAGAGAGGGAGAGAGAGAGAGAGAGAGAGAGAGAGAGAGAGAGAACAAGAGAGAGTCCTGCAAATGAATTGTTTTTAAATTACCAAATTTTAAATGAGAAACAAGTCTGATGAGAGAGTTCCATGAAATGCGATAAATATATCGGATGATGATGTGAATAAACAACGTACAATTCCTTAAAACGACAAGCAGTCTGGTCTTTAATGAAATAATAATTAACTTTACTTTTATCATCATTACTGATGATAATTCAATTGTTCATTTCAATTAAATGCTCTGAATGTTTATCTCAGGTCTTCGAAATATAATTGATTAAAAGAGAAAGAAAGAGAGAGAGAGAAAGAGAGAAAGAGAGAGAGAAAGCTAGAGAGAGAGAGAGAAAGAGAGAGAGAAAGCTAGAGAGAGAGAGAGAGAGAGAGAGAGAGTGGACACAGGAATCAAAGTTGCAAAGGGATAACTTCAAGCGATCTTCAGACATCAGATATTGAGTATTTTTCTCATGAGATATAGCGAATATTTAAACTCACACATGTATATATTTGCTATAATTATGTGGAAGTGTATTCAGTATCGGAAATAGATCTATCTATCTATCTATCTATCTATCTATCTATCTATCTATCTATTTCATCATTATCTATCTATCTATCTATCTATCTATCTATCTATCTATCTATCTATCTAACACTCTCTTCATTGTCTATCTAACACTCTCTTCATTATCTATCTATCTATCTATCTATCTATCTATCTATCTATCTATCTATCTATTGTCTTTATTATGGAAGTCAATATTTCCCCATTACACTGATATTAACCAATAGTTACTGGGAGCATTTTCTCTATATGCTTATATATATATCATAAATAAACCATACAATCCATTAGTGTCTGTTTTTATAAAAAAATATTTGATATGGCTTATTTTTTTATACATCAAGATTTTCTGTCTAAATTTCTGTGATGAAGCATTATCATTATTTACATTCATAATACTGTCATCATCTTTGTTGTTGTTAGTCGAAACGTTATAATTACAACAACAAAAATGAGGATATATATATATATATATATATATATATATATATGAACGAGTATCGTAGAAAAGGTTTTCTAAATCAATGTTTTTCAACGTCAATAAAACTATTATAAACATCTTTCGTCTGAAAGTTTCATTGTCAAATCTTTGTCTCATTATCCAATCATATACTGAAGGCGACGTGTCTCCAGCATCCGAATATTCACAGATCATGATGTGTTCTCATTTTTTGGATTCGCAAAATAAATATGTGTCCCTATTTTCGGATACTTGAAAATTTCGCTCAGACTCACCCGTACACTCACTGATCACAATAATACAAATCGCAACGATTCTTCCTTCTTCTACTTATCATTTTCCTTTTTGCCGTTTCTTGTTCGATTTCAGCAAAGCCCGAAGCTACGCGCGTTCTCCATCGAAGGCAATAACATGGGAAGTAAGAAGAGCGTTTACTTTTGACAGTGCCGCCGTCAGCTATTCGCTCTTAAAATGGTGAATAGAGCTGACGTCAATAAAAACATTTTCTATTTTATCTCATTTTTCTCAAGTTCTTTTCGATTTTGTTATGTGATGGAGATATCACTTATTCTGCTTTCAATTTGCAAGAATAGTGACGAATTATCTAATACTTTCACGAAGGAAAATAATAATAATAATAAAAAAAACATTATATCACCCAAACACTCATATGCATATCTATCTATCTATCTATCTATCTATGTGGACGTTTTTATGTGTATAATCTTCCTGGACTACTTAATTGTTTTATTTACATAAAACCGTCCACAGATGCACATAGGTATGCATATAAGTGTTTGGTAAGCGTTCGGACCAAATATTGAGATAATTTGTATACTCGTCAAGTTTAGCAAAGATAATACTTGAACGTATACAAGAAAAAATATAACAGTACCTTGTCACTCTTGCTTAACAAAACGTATTAAAGATTGATTGCTGTCCACACACACACACACACACACACACACACATATATATATATATATATTAATTTAAAGAAAAAACAGACCACTTTAAGGTTCCATTGTTATAATTTATTTCACCAGAGATTTTATTTTTCTTGGGATCTTCAGATGTCACATTCACGGCTGAAAAAAATGAATTTAATATACGTGACTTTATATTAAGACTGTGTTTACTCAATTAAATATTTATTAAATTTGATAAAACATTTTTGTTGTACGGTGAGTTTAACTATATGATGTTTCTTTTCCTGTTGTTTTTTTTTGTTCTGTGTTGTGTGTTAATGTTTCCGAAAATTCACTATCTTTTAGGTCTGTTTCATAATATTTATTGGCTTCGTTGAAGATGATTTCGTTAGAAGAATTATCAGATAACTCCTGGTTAATTGGTTGTGGGATTAACTTGATTATTGATGGGAGGTGGTTGGAAAATGTGTATAAGTGAAGGGGTTTGTTACACATAAACACATTATTATCATTAAATTTATGCACCAACGCTTCCCCCATCAAACACTCTCCACAAGTTATTCAACAAAACACACAGTAGAAATCATCTACAGCTGAACCAAGAACATGACACAACTGATAAAAAGCAGAAAATAACAATAAACAAAATAAACTCACGTGTAATTGCAGAGCTAAAAACGAATGACCTTTAAATGTGAATTGATTGTAAAACAAAATACTATACCAAGCTACTGTATAATAAGCAGATAACGAAAGAAATTCGTAAGAGTAAATGAATGACACTGGAAACAGAAACTATGTACTCAAAAAATGTTTTAAAATAGTAAATACGCAAACTGGACAATGCTTAATAAACGTATATGGAAAATTAATAACAAGAATCAAATCATACCAAAGATATGGAAAATAAGAGAGAAAACATCAGCCAAATACAATAGACCCCGAAATTGTAAACTCTGTATGGAGGAGAAAATAATAACTTTCTCAGAACAACGCACATTACTATATAAACGTTCAGAACTCATGTGATTAATGCAGACACATATTTTTAATACGTTATTTCAAAATCGAAAACTGAAAACGAATACGAATAAAAAGTAAAATAAAAAAAATCAAAATCAATAAATAAGTAGGCAAGGAAGTAAATAATGAACAAATTAATAAATTACGAAGGTACACATAAACATTGGTAAATGGAATAAAAATATAAAATAGTATAAATTAAATAATAATAATAAAGAAACAACAATATAAAATAACAGCATTCGAATTTCTAATTTCTACTTAATAATCTCTAGAATAAGAACCGTTAGGATAATATAATAAACATTACTACCCATAATGCCCCATTGACAAGCATATATAAATAGTCGAGTAAAAACATAACACGCATTGCCTTATGACTGCGTTAAAACAGACTACTATTGCTGGGCCTTGGCTTCAATATTCCTCAGTCAGATTAATGATCCACAGTTCTTTAGCACTTACTTTTTTAAAGTGCTCGATACAAAGTAGAACATAATATTATAATATTTATATTCAAAAATATTTTTTATCGCGAAAAAAAAAAAAAGTATTTATATATATATATGTAAGACATGTGGGGGAAATTCTACTCTGGATATATTTTTCAAAATGAGTATTTCAATAAGCAAACCATTTTTATGGATGATGTTAATGTGAATTGAACTATAAGGTGAATACGAGGAATAAGCATAATTCTTGGTTGGGCCAAAAACATTACGGCATATATATCTATTAATATATCTAACTACGTGTATATATATATATATATATATATATATTTATTAAAGACATTTTATTATGTTTAACGTTGTTATTTTATTAAACATAATAAAATGTCTTTAATAAATAAATTGTCGGACCTTGTCCATTTCTTAATATATATATATATATATATATATATATATATATATATATATATATATATATATTATATTAATGAATTCATTCATACAAAAAACAAAAATTTCTTGCAATTAACAATAACACATTTCTAAAAACATATTTCGGATTATATCTATTCTTTCGTTGTTCTGTTATTACTGGGAAGTAAAAAACAAATATATTTCCACACCTGATGATGTCTGTATGCACAGATGAAAACTTGTAAAAAAATTAAAAAAAGACCTTATGCAACTGGAATATATAAACAGGGATCATAACATTCATCTACTGGTTCGGGGTTAATGTACTTTATTAAATTTGTTAGCGAAGATGTATTCCCTCCATTTATAACATTAACTTCTATGTTTTTTGTATGAATGATTCATATAATGTAAATTCAACTACACTACATACTTCATATATATATATATATATATATATATATATATATATATATATATATATATATATGACTACAAAAAAATGTGCACAAACAAGAGACGCTGGGAGTTTCCAAATTTACAAATAATTTTTTTTGGCAATCTGGCCGAATTCATTGAGATTCTTTTTCTTTCCATAATCTTTGTTATTAAATACCCCCACATTGTGATAACAGAAAAATCTGTCTCGTAAGGTGATAATTGGTAAGTGCCTGGCCGTAATTTTACTGTGGCTGAACTAGTGATTAAAGCAATTTCCAGATATTTTTGTCCTAGTGAATTATTTTATTTTTTAATCAGAGTAGCATTTTTCTTTTATGTCAAAACTGCGATCAGTTTCGTTACAGTGAACAACCAATGTGTTTTGTGTGTTGGTTCTTTTTAAAATGGTTCTTTTGTTCGCATATAATTTTGTGTTTAAAGTTCTTGAGGTTTCTCCAATATATTCTTTCTGGCGATATATTATTTCTCGGCATATTAAATATTGAAAAAAAGGAAGCCAAGTTGAATTTTTTTCTATAGAAGTGTATTCCGAACTTCACATTGATGAAAGTTAGATATAAAAACAAATGGTGTCGATTATTGCCTGAAACGATGTTCAGAAACCAACGTTAATGGAGGCCCAGAGTAACCTCAATTGCGGAGGATAGATATTTGATCGTTTCTAGCAAAAGAGACAGAAGAAAAACAGTTCCCCGAATAACTGCTGAATTTAATTCTACACGTACATCATCCATTATCTATTATCACTTATGTTGTGCTTAAAGGATGTGTATCAGTTAAGAAACCTTTAATAAAAAGGAGAATTAGTTGAAAATATTAAAGTGGATACAACATCACATACGGTTGGACTTTAGAAGACAGGAAAAGGTATTATGGACTAATGGACCTAAATTTGAGCTTTTTGCAAGTAAACGAAGAGTGTTTGTTAGACGAACTCCTTCCAGACAAATGAGTGAAAATAACATTGTGCCAAAATATTAAGCATGATGGTGGTACTGTCATGGTTTGGGGATGTCATGGAGGTGAGATTTCTGGAGACTTGGTTCAAATTAAAAGGATTATTCTAAAGTAAGCATATCATTCAATACTGCAGAGGCATACAATTCCTTCTGGCTCCTGCATCAATGGAGAAAATGTGTTGCAACAAAATAATGTTCCAAAACACAACTCAAAACTGTGTACAAATTATCTAAAATTAAAGGAAGATAAGGAAATGTTGAAAATCATGACTTGGCTTCCTCAGTTTGGAGATCTTTCATTAATTGAAATAGTATGGGAAAAAATTGATCTTAAAGTTCGAAGTGAACTACTTAAGTATAAGTAAGAGTCGTTTACATATTTACATACTGTTTGAGAATCATTTCCAACAACATACTTTTACAAGTTAATAATTGAAATTATAATTATTTTACATTCATTTTGATTTAAATTATTGCATAATTGCATGGAAACATAGAAAAATACATTTATTTCCTTAAAATCATGTAACTTCATTAATTTTTAAGTTTAGAGGAGAAAAATTATCTGGTCCGAAACGTTTTGTCGGTAGTGCATATATATATATATATATATATATATATATATATATATATATATATAACGAAGTAAATAAACACTAAAATAGTTGCTTAAAATTATATGTATTAAAAAGTGCTCTGTAACACGTTAGATAAATAATAGAACGCTGACAGTAACATTACCGTCAAGGTCTCATTAGGTGGTTAACTTCGCCGAGTTAATCACCTGATGAGACCCTGAATCCGCGGTAGTGTTCCATTCGGTGTTTTATTATTTTAGGATATATATATATTGATGCGGAACTGGTAAGTTATTGAGGTTTCGACGTGAATGCGTTTCTCGAATTCTTCGTCGACACAGATGTGGGACTGGTAAGGTATTGAGGTTTCGGCGTGGGTGCGTTTCTCGAATTCTCGTCGCCACTGATGTGGGGCCAAAGTTGGGACCACAGAAGGAAAACACGGAAAACGGATTAGATGTAAGAAAATATATATTAACAACAGGTTACAGAGATATAGTGTAAACGGAGCTTACTATATGTTAGTGTCCACTGGTAGTCGTACGCGGCTCTCTGACTCTCTGTCTAGAGGTTGTGTCGCATACTTAATATAGACCTGGAAGAGTCTATTGTGTAGGTAGTTCCGGTCTCATTAATATATATATATATATATATATATATATATATATATATAAATGAATATATCTGTAAAGGTGATACTAATAAACGGAATGACAAGAGCAAGATTCTTCTGTTATTAAATTTCCTTGTATTGATTCCTATTCACAGCTTCCGAACTGAAACGACTAACTTATCTCCCAGGTAATTATACATGTAGTAAATCACAAGGCCAAATCTGTAAGCACATTGTCACCGATACAACTTGTATTCCTGCAACTAATTACATTACACAGCAATGGCTCTAACATAGTTTACATGATTTACTATAACATTTGTGACGGGGGCAATTATGTCAGTAAAACTGGCTCTGAATTTCGTCTCTGATTCAACAATTATGAGAACGTAATTAGAGAAAGCACTAATTATTGTAGTATTGAATAGCATTTCAAATTACCTAGTCATATATAGAAAATGATAGCTGCTTTCTACTACTTCTCAAAAGAGCCGTAGAAAAACTGTAAAAGATTAATTCTCAAACTTAATAGCAACAATTTAAAATGAAATAAAGACCTGGGAATTCTCAAAGATTGTACGTGTTACAAGATGAAACAGTTGCATCGTTTTTTAGTATTAATAGCTGGGAAAGACTTATGTTTATATACATGCTTATATATTTCCCTATGTGTCTATTTTCATTCCTATTTTATGACCCATATAGATGATTATTTATTGTATATTTACGTGAGGAATTTGCGATGTTTTACTTCGCACTTTTTGATTAATGCAACTAATACTATCTTTCATATTTTTATTGTCATTATTATTATTATTATTATTATTATTATTTTCATCATTCCTATCAGCCTTAAATCAGATATAATATATATTTTACATGTATATCTCCATTTTTATGGCCATTGTTATTAATGTGATAGTGTGGTAAAGACTGAGTCACATGAAAGAAAAGGATGAGATAGTGACAATAGAAGAGTATTTATCAGATGTTTCGATCAAAGGATTGGTTGTTCTCCCACTGAGGTCATTAACTAGATTTGAAATTTAGCCAAGTTCAAAAATATATATTCAGTATCAAAAAACACTGACGAAGGTTACAAGAGTAGACGAAAATTTTATAATAACTAATGATTAATATCAGGGAAAGAGTGTGTCTAAATATAAAGAGGACTGAAATCACATCCGAGTCTGTTTCATGCTTGAACACAATCATCAGGACATCAGAACAGAACTCTTTAAGAATAGAATAGTATTTTTGGTTATTGGAATTTTATTTCATGTATACCAACCATGTACGTTATCTATCTATCTATCTATCTATCTATCTATCTATCTATATATGAAAGTGAACATTGAAGTCAACATTCAGAAGCGACAGGATGTTTCATGTTGGACGCAATCCTCAGGTCGAGAATGCTGGATTTTTCATTGGCTATTTTTATATATATATGGGTCAGTGGTGCATTGTGGGTAATCTATTCTGGGTAACCTATTATTTCAAAAAACGAAAAGAATAAATGCAAAATGAAAATGAAAAACAAGTAAAATAAATTAACCCAAACAAGTAAATAAATAAATAAACAAACAAGCCACTCACGCAAAAACAACCGCCAGAATAGATTACCCACAATGCACCACTGACTCATATATATAAATAGCCGAGGAAAAATCCAGCATTTGCGGCCTGACGATTGCGTTCACCATGAAACAGGCTTTCGCCTCTGAGTGGTAACTTCAATGTTCCACAGATATGTTGTTTCGTTGTAGCACAGCTCATCGCTGTGTCTAGACCTTCAATCGCTTCAGGCCAGGATCGAATCCCGACCGATTTGGTATCAGTCGAAGATTTTAATTCCTAGGTCATTGACACAGAGAGGAAGGCGAATTTTTGTGTATCTATTTTTCATAAACACATGAGTCACTTAGAGAACTGAATCGGCTTGGAGAGTCTTGCATACCTAAAGAGCCAGAACCTATCTACCTAGGTTATTTCACCTATCAGATTATCAGAGTAATTCTGATTCAGAATTCTCCTGATGAACTGGTAGGTGAAAACAACCCAGGTAGATAGGTTCTGGCTCTTTAGGTTCACTATTTTTGCTCTACTTAGTCTATTGATCACTTTTACGTATCGGCTGAGGTTACTCAGTCGGTGTTTATCATTTTGGCTAGACATTGAGTTGCTGATTGATTATTTTCAAGCAGTACGGATGTTTTAGTCTTTTCTTTTCTTTTTGAATTTTTCCTCAGATATAAGTTTGTGTAATAATTTTAAATTACAAATTGTATCATCTGTTTTACACCGCCAGAATTATGGTATAAATATAAAATAATATATATATATATATATATATATATATATATATATATATATATATATATATATGTATATGATAATAATAGTGGTCAATATATATATATATATATATATATATATATATATATATATATATATATATATATATTCCCAAGAGGATAGAATCCAGATAGAACTCAATGTCCAGGACAGAGTAAGAATATAATATTTTTCCGATTTATAGGTCTGATGTATTAGTTCGTAATTCCAATTCCAATGTAATGAATTATAGCCATAGAATATTAGTGTTTGAGCTATATATATATATATATATATATATATATATATATATATATATATATATAAATGTCTAGTTTTACATTTTGTTTCAATATTTACACCTGAAATAAAATAATAATAACAATATCATATCTCTAAAGTTTTATTCGGAAAATAGGAATAATTCTCTGCTCACGCTCCTTAAAAAACAGCCAATTATTATTGCGGACTTTTTCCCATAATACACTTTGAATAAAATTCTTCCTTCCTTGGCGCTGTTAGGTCCTCTTCCAATTCCATTCTTCTCCAATTTTTGCCACTATCGTTCTACTATTAGCAATATGCTTCCCTGGGACAGCCATCTTAATATTGTTAATACAATTCATTTTATTTTTCCAGGCTATTCATGAATTGTATTGTTTTAAATCTATGGAGTTTTGGAAACGGAAGCGGGTGGACGAGGAGGAACAGTGGGGAATGACGAGAAATTGGACTCTGAAAAATAAATAAAGAAAGAAAAGATCGGTAGTTGTGTGAAAAAAAAAAATTAATTACATTAAAGTTATCGCAGCAAAGACATTGAAAGCGTAAGACGGAGAGAGATAATAAAACCATTTGCAGTGAGATATCCAAAACAAAAGGAGAAAGCAGATGAGAAAATGATGAAAATAATTGTTGGTTTTGGGCAATAATCTTTGTAGTTTGAGGATCTGAAAGCAAATATCTGTTAAATGCCATTTGATGTTCATAAAGTACAACCCTTATTCCGCATTTTTCCCGCATTTTTCCACAGTTCGCCATTGTTGTTTTAGTAAAATATTTTGACTTTCTTTGTATTGTGTTAAATACGAAGAAGAGGTTTGTATCATAACCCTTCATTGATTTATAGATAGAATCATCATCTCTATTATGCTTAGCAAGACATTTCCAGTCATGTAATCTACAATGTACTGTGATTTAATTTCGGTGCGAACGAAGAAAATACAAAGTGTGGTCTTAAAGACGAATGTTGAGAATAACAGAGACGAATGATGTGATGATAAATGAAAAAGTTTTAAAGAAAATAACAGGAAAGAAAACTGTGTGGTTAACAGACTTTTGAAGTTTCGGGAAAGTATATTGAAAAGACTTGGAGAATTTAGCACTCATAGTACACTTTGAAGGCAAAAGAGCGCCTGAGATATTTAACACATTTTAGTAAATGAATGGAAGACCGCGTACAAGTAAATAGAACATATATATATATATATATATATATATATATATATAT